ATATGCCAAGAGGCCAATGGCCATTGGGCATAATCACCGCAATAGCTTATGACCGTTGTAATACTCCTAGGTCTGCGACTGTTCGAATGCCGAAGGTCGCGAGCTTAGAAGATGGCTCAACCATCTTTATCCGCTTAAAATTACAGCAAAACGATCTACGAATGAAGTTCAGCATTCAAAAAAGTCATCAACACCAACACCGGTACGTGTATAGCCACTTCGTGCCTGCAAAAAAGTACGTTCCTACAGCAAATAACCGGAAAACCAGGTAAAGTTCTCTGGCCCGACCAGCCAGTCGTTAACTGCTATAAGCAAAGACGTCTACGCCCACACAGGAATCTGTGATGAACATGGAGGCCCAGTGCCAGCCCAGGAGGCTTCCGCGGAAACGCAGGCCCGTCCCGCTTTTGACCCTGAAAGCATCAAAATGGAAGTGGATTTGGAGGCGACCCCGCAGCAAATGCAATCGCAACCCCCCGCCACCCTCGCCAACATAGACTTGAGACTTCTGCTCTCGGTTCTAGAGTCAGCAGCGGAAATCGACCCAGATCCAAAAGCGCGTGAGCAGCCATCTTTCACCACGCATCGGCAGCTACGCTATGATGGCGATCCCCCTTTTCGGGGCAAAAGGCTTCCGCCGTATGAAGCTTTCACGCGCTATGCGAAAGGCAGATCCGAAGTTTTTGAAACCTATGATGCAGAACATGCGGTCGTTCCGGTACATCTTTGTGCCGCTCTCCGACTTGCCCAAAGCCTCATTGTAGCCGTCAATTTTGATCATACCTTTTCCATCAATCATCTTGCCGGTCGAGATTTAACAATGATAGATGCAGTCTCGCAAGACGATTTTTATATTCACATCCGCGATTATATTACAAGAGAAGCACACGTCTCTGCCCCTTCCAGTACCATTTATCCTGGCATTTCTGATTTTCCATACTGATGATCGCCCAAAGTATGAAGGATCTACACGCAGCCACTCAAAAACTCACCGCTTTTCGTCTGGAACTCCACCAAAACACCGAGCATTGGCAAAACGTGGAAGTAATCATTGACTCCTTTGAAAAATTGGCCACTCTGCAATATAACGTGGACCATTATCGTCACATACTGGACACGTGCATCACTCCTATGCTTAATAACGAACCCAAACAAATCAAAGAACTCGTGACTCTCCTACATCAGCATCAGGCCCCGCTTAGCTCGCTAATACTTTTGTATACCGCCGCAACAGGCGAGCTAACACATTGTTTTGATCTGCAGCAAGCCCTCCTAAAACGCTTGCACACTATTTACGTGCCTATGGACACTCAGATGGACCCCAACCTCCGCATATCGATGAATAGCGACGAGTTTTGCTTCTCCCTCCCCATGTTTCAAATCAAAGCCGAACTCCCAGATCACAAACCCTCTACGTCACAGCACCCCATATGTCAGGAGGATACTAGGCCATCATCCTCTGTTACTACCGCAAGTGCAGACACCCATACTTCCTCCGCAATCGATGCAGCCACTCCGCCAATCCACAACATTGCTGCTCCATCCGATACCACTTCCTCTCCGAAGGTGTTTGCAATTCCTTCTACACCTTCTAGCTCTACCCGTTCCACCAAGACCCTGCATAGCCGCGCTGCGCCAGAAGATGATACAGACCCCAGAGTCAGCGAACCTCATCGTGCGAAGAGACCAGGTTCATGAAGCAAACCTTTCGCGCATGAGGAGCTGACAGCAGCCGCCACTCATCTGAGTCGCAAAGACTTGGCAGCACCTTCTCCACGACAGTCATCCTCATCTCACAGAAGACAGAAAGGCAGCCCATCCTCATCACGTACTCATAGCATAACGTCCACATCGCGACGTCGGAGCACCCGAAAGGATGCCGCACCTCCTTCGCCCACTCGCAGCAGAGCATCTAGGTCACGCCGCTCACGAACACCCGCAATCCACCGCCGTCCACCATCTCCCTCTTCGCAAGCGTCATCACGTCACAATCAAGCACCGCCATCGCTGCTATCCATTTCCATCCCATCCCCATTCCCAGCCACATCTGC